GTTTCTAGGTTGGTTTTAAAAGTTCGATCTTGCTCTTCTGGATTGTGTTTTCCTACCTCCTTTCGTGTCTGGTAATCTTCGTATAGATTCCAAATATTTTGAATTTTATCTTACTTGCTACGTAGTTTTATATTCCTACAAATTTTGTGGTCTTTCTTTCAGATGCAATTAATACAGTATTTGGGAACAGGTTGATGATTTTATGTCTTGCTTTTCTAATTCAGTAGGTGATTTCTGTTCAGTGTTCAGTCTACAGCCAATTATTTCCCACTGCCCTCCTAAGTGCTTCACCGCGTGTCCTGTGAATGAGGAAGTTCTCGTTCCGGTTATTGGTAACAGACACTGTCCCTTAACCTGCGTGATCGCCAGGCTCCCTGTCCTCCACGCCGCCAGCATTGGTGGCCCTTCCCCGGCACGGCCATCAGCCAGCTTCCTCGGGAACACGCGCCGACTTCTGCTGCATACGCAGCGTCATTCTGGTCTTTTCCGAGTCTTCTGGCTTCGTGGTCATCTCCGTTCTGCCGCGCAGTCCCACGGACTTGAGCTGAGTCGGTCTTTTCCGACATCATCTTTGTGTCCTAATCTCGGGACTTTGCTGAGCGTCACCTCGGCTCCGTGGGCGTGGCTTGAAAACTCGCCGAGGGCCCGAAGCGATGGCCGTTGTGCCACGCACGTGTTTTGTCTCCTGTCTCTCAAAGATCACTGCGCCTTGTGGTTTGATGTCCAGTCTCTTGGAAACGATCGTTCCATGCATGTGTGTGGCTTTTACTCTTTCCTTTTCGGTCGTCTCAGCCGTAATGGTCAGTCAGTCCGTCTGCTCTCTGGGGATTCTTTTCGGGCTCAGGTGTTTCTTTTAGCCTCACTTACAGGTGCAGGGTTACTGTGCACAGCGCCTCTGATTTTTATTACAAAATGTCTTTTTTTAGGGATAAAGCTTAATTTATCATTGCGTGTAATCCTTTTAATATGTTGCTGAATTTGGCGCAGCATTTTGATGAAAATTAGTTCATCAGTGTTCACGAGGGACATCGGTCCTTAGTCTGCTTTTCATGTGCTATATTTGGCTTTGGACATAGGTCATTTCTGGCCTCACAGAATGTGTCTGGAGAGTTTCCCTCCTCTTAAATGTTTCAAAGACCTTGAGAAGGACTCCGGTCAATTCTTTTTAAAATGTTTCATAGATTTATCTAGTCCTGGCCTTTTATTTGTTGCGAGGATTTTGTTTTCTTGTTTATTTTTCTTTTTAATTGTGGTAAAAAGCACATAACATAAGATCAGCTGTCTTCCCTTTTCTTAAGGAGACCGTTCAGCAGTCTTTATTGACGTCGTTGTGCAACAGGTAGCTAGAACTTTTCACAAACCGAAACTCTGCCCACTGTGAGGCAGCAGCTGCCCACCGCCCTCGCCCCAGCCCGGGCAGCCAGGTCTTTCTGCCGCTGAGATCCCTCTCCTGAGTAGACTCTTGTACTGTTTGTCTTTTTGTGATTGGCTTATTTCAATTAGCATAATCTCAAGATTGTCCATAGTGTAGTGTGTCATAGGATTTTTTTTTTTTAAGGCTGAATAATATTCCGTTGTATGTATATAGCACATTTTCTTTATCCGTGCATCCAGTGATGGACACTTAGATTGAATACACCTCTTTGCTGTGGTGACTAATTCGCGAACGAACACAGGGGTGCAGGTGTCTCTTCGGGATGCCGCTTGCAGGTCTTTGGACTACACACCCAGATTTGGGATTGTTGGGCCATATTGCAGTTCCTCCAGTGTTCTGACGAACGTTTGTACTGTCGTTGGTGCTAGTCACACCGTTTCACAGCCACCAGCAGTACACGAGTTTTCTCATTTCTTCACGTCGTCTCCAGCACTTGTCCTTTCCTCTCCCTCCCTCTCGTTCCTTCCTTCCTTCCTTCCTTTCTCTCTCTCTCTTTTCTTTTTCCTTTCTTTTCTCTTTTTCTTTCTTTCATCATGTCTATCCTAATGGGTGTGAAATGCTACTTCATGCCTTTGGTTTGCATTTCTCTAATGATTACTAATGTTGAACACCTTTTCATATGTTTGGCTCTAAGTTCGTGGGGTTTTTTTTCTGATTCTTCTGTATACTTAGCTTGTTTTTAGATGTCTTAATTTCCCTGAGGGTCTAAAAGTGTCACACTGCTTCCTCAATGGTCCTTCGATTTTCTGCTCTGCTCCTCAGTCACTAATCCCTTGCCCCAGGCACCTGTGGGTCTGTAATCACCTTGTGGTTTTCAGGAATGTACCCACTGCTTCTCCTAGGCTGAGGTTTTACCTGGCTCTGAAGTCTGCGACACAGAGTCCAGTCCCTCAGGCAGCAGTCACACAGGTGGCCAGTTCAGTCTGCTCTGCTCTCCGTGGTCTGTGAGATGGAGCTGAGCCCTGGGTGGCTGCTTCCCCAAAGCACACGGCTCTGTCCCTTCTCGTTAATCAGGGCTGGGTCAAGGAAAAGTCACACGCCACGGACCTCCCCCCACGTGGAACATGGCTTTTTCTCGCTTTGGCGCGCGTGTGGTTGCTGACGATCTTTGGACTGGTTTCCAAAGCTCTTATAAAGTTGCCGTAGCCAGTCCCTAGTTGTTTGTTTCATGTTCCCGTGGGGGGAGGGGAGTCGGAGCTTCCCCGTTGGTCATCTTGCTGAAGTCACTCTCAGCATATTACAGTTGGATGTGTATTTGTCTTTCCCAAATTCTTAATTTGTTTGCACACTTCCTGTATGCAGTAAAGAGTGACATTGGTTGTACATTTGTATTTTCTCTTTTGTGCCTATTTTTAAATTAGTTTCATGTCATTTTTCATGGATTTATGTGAATTGTTTATATGTTCTGAGTATAACCCTCTTTGGGTTATATAATTACAACTCTGTTCCAGTTTCGTTGCTTGATTATTGTTAATTTTATGAATTGTTGATTAAGTTCTTAATACTAAATATTTCAAAAATTTTTTATTACAGTCATTCTCTTTTTTAAGAAATTATAACCCATCCAAAATGTACGACTATTTTTCCC